TATTTATATCAAATGGCGGGTGTTATGATAGTTATCATTAGCCCTTTAGCTGACTTCGGGGCTTAACAGAGAGGAGGAGGAACACCAAAGTGACAAAAAGTCGAGAGGAGAAACGGAAGAGTGATTCACAGATGTAAAAGAGACAGACAGACACAAAGGCATAAAAAAATGTAAGATGAGTACTATAGAAGGGGTCGAATATGACAAATAGTTGTGTCATAGTAGTTTGAAGTCAGAAGTCAACTGCCGTTCAATAGACTATTTTGCCGTATGAGTATACGTTGCCCAGTGGGCACCACGTGGTGGTAAGTCTATTGCTCACCCCATCTTAAATTATTTTTATTATTATTATTGTTATATCAAATGGCAGACGTCTTGAAGGTTATCATTAGCCCTTTAGCTGACTTCGGGGCTTAACAGAGAGGAAGAGGAACATCAAAGCGAAAAAAGTCGAGAGGGGGGGGGAGACAGAAGAGTGTTTCAAAGATGTAAGAGACAAACACAAAGGTAGAAAACATCAAAGTGAAAAAAGTCGAGAGGGGGAGGGGGGGGGAACAAAAGAGTGTTTCAAAGATGTAAAAGAGACAGACACAAAGTTTGAAGAGTGTTTCAAAGATGTAAAAGAGACAGACACAAAGGTAGTGTTTCAAAGATGTAAAAGAGACAGACATAAAGGTAGAGAAAAGGTAAGATGAATACCGTGTTTCAAAGATGTAAAAGAACAGACAAAAAAGTGAGTGATTCAAAGATGTAAAAGAGACAGGCACAAAGGCAGGGGGGGGAACAGAAGAGTGTTTCATAGATGTAAAAGAGAGAGACACAAAGGCAGAGTGTTACAGAAGGTGAGGTGAGTACTGTGAAAGTAGTCGAATATGACAAGGTAAGATGAGTACTGTGAAAGGGGTCAAATATGACAAATAGTCGAGGTAAGATGAGTACTGTGGAAGGGGTCGAATATGACATACGGTTGAGGTGAGTACTGTGAAAGTAGTCGAATATGACATACAATGAGGTGAGTACTGTGGAAGTAGTCGAATATGACATACAGTAAGGTGAGTACTGTGGAAATAGTCGAATATGGCATAGAGTGGGGGGTGAGTACTATGGAAGTAGTCGAATATGACATATAGTGAAGTAATGGTAGTTTGAAGTGAGAAATCAATTGCCAGTTAATAGACTTTTTTTGCCGTATGTGGAGAAGTCAACTACCAGTTAATAGACTTTGCCGTATGAATATACGTTGCCCAGGGTGCACCACGTGGAGGTAAGTCTATTGAAAAACGAATGCCGAGTGATAGAATTTTTGCCGTAAGAAAGTACGTTGCCCAGGGTGCACCACGTGGAGGTAAGTCTATCGTAGTTAACTGCCAGTTAATAGACTTTTTGCCGTATGAATATAACGAAAGCCGAGTGATAGACTTTTTTGCCGTAAGAAAATACGCTGCCCAGGGTGCACCACGTGGAGGTAAGTCTATCGCACACAAACTTCCGGTTAATAGACTTTTTACCGTATGAGTATACGTTTCCCAGGGTGCACCACGTGGAGGTAAGTCTATCGCACACCCACCAGGGTGCACCACGTGGAGGTAAGTCTATCGCACACCCCTTGTAGGGTGCACCACGTGGAGGTAAGTCTATCGCACACCCCACCTTAAAGTATTAATACCTATCACCTTGAACTCTTAGAGCAGTAAGGCCTTTCTTAACTTCATGCGGTGTTTTGTGACAATAGTATTTTATTCCTGTCAGCTTGTTTACCTTTGTCTGATTTTCCATAAAATTTTTATTTATTAACTCCGGTAACAAATATACTGAAGTGCTCTTAGGATTTTCATTTGCGCAAAAGGCAGATTTAGTCAAAACCACTCGTAAATTATGTAATTGCCTCAGTTAAAAAAAATAGATAGTGACCATTTCTCAATTAATTTGAATTATCATTTAAACATAAAATATCGCCATAAAGAACCACAGGCTCTCAAGTAAACATTTTATTTAAGAACTTGGCTATAATCTTTGCATCGACATGTTCATAGGTCATATGATTATAAATCCTGCTCAAAACTCCGTGTTAAATCACTCAACTGTTAAGTCATGTAATCTGAGTGCAATTGTACGTTTGTCAAAAATTCATCTAAATCATTCTTTTCTTAAGAGGTGTTCTCTTATCATATTATTTACTAATATAATAGGACTTGCCGCTATATTGCGTAATAAACTGATATGTTACTCTGATCTATGTGGCGACCTATTTTGGCGTCCAGCAGTAAGCTGACGTCCAATTTAGTGACCCTTATGCCCCTCCCCCCCCCCCTCCCTTTTATTTTCTCCATGGTTTGGACGTTACTTTAGCTGTTATAGTGGCAGACGTGTTGACTAATCACTAAATTTACCCTTCCGATGGACTTGTGGCATCGGTACACACAATCGGTGATTACAATGAACTAACATTTTAGTTGAAATCGATGCAAATGGTTGATGGAGTACAATTTCCCTTCCCCCCTCCCCCCCCCCTCCCACTCAAAATTTGTTTGTAGGACAAACTGAATAAATCGAAAATTGGTCTCATATATTCACTTAACGGTTTTATAACATCCCTATGACTTGGTTAGGGTGGATTTTGAAGCCGATAATTCATTGCCAATATTACTGTACATTACTTGCAGTATCTGGTACCAATTCCGAACACTTTTTTATCACCTGTTGTGCAGGTCAGCAACCATCTTTGCCACGTTAATTGCCCTGTGGTTTGACCCGACCGGGTCATTTTAACGGCGTATAGAAAGGACATTCAAACAGTGGAAGTAGCAGGCCCACCTAAAACTTCCCATGAATATTAAGGAAAGTTGCAACATCATCTGACATGGACAAAGTGGAGGTATCCCAGGCCAGCTTTTCTGGAAATCTACCGATTTACCACCTTCATGTTAGCCAGAATTAACCGGTGCATAGAATTCATATCGTCTGACTTGTTAATTGCTGTACCAACCTCACATGACACACACACACACACACACACACACACACATATATATATATATATATATATATATATATACNGTATATATATATATATATATATATATATATATCCTCCAAATGTGTTAATTACCCTCTGGGATGATTTGGTCTTCCCATATCGATACTCAAGTGAAAATAGAGTGAGTATAGAAAGGAAAACCTTTATAGTGTCAGTTTGAGGCACGGTCAAGTTTGTACATATTTCCTCTCGACATCGGTGTCGAACCAGTAACCTGTTATGTGATAGTTAACCATACTCGAGGTGTTGCCATGAGGTTCAATATTGGCTGTCCCAAAACTCAATTGAAGTTGGACTAAATGTTGCCTAGAGTTTGTTGATCACCTGTGTTCCTTTTAATGGGAATTTTATCACCTGCTGGGCTGGAAATCCTCCCATGTGTTGACTTGGTCCAATGAGCTAGAAAACTTGGACTAATTAAAAGTGAAATGTGAGCCTAAATAATCATTAATGCACTCACGTGTACATGCTGAGCTATGCTTATCTCCTCTTGGAACTAACATCGTACACGTGATCTTTCACCTCAACAAGTAAACATCCTTCCAGTGTGCAATCCAAGGTTAATATGGTGGATTTCTGGACTGTGAGGTTGAATGTGTGGAATTGAACTTTGATAACGATTTCCGTACTACTTTATTACTTCACTATGAAGCCTATTTTCTGGCGCTGTCATTACGCATTCACTGAACATTGCTCGAATTCGGAAGTAGATTCAAAATAACTGAATACAAATCGTTTTCAAGCCATCAATTTTGGAGGCAAAAGCCCCGTGATAACTGATAACAATTTTGCCCTCCCCCCCCCCCCCCCCCCCCAATAACTGTCGAGCTACAATGAGCTGAGGTGTGCCCGGGTATTTGTAAGGACGATGGGTGATTTGAAGGAAATCTGTATGGCAATTGACCATCTCGAGGATCAAAGCATAGACTCGGTGGATTTGACCTTTCTTTGTCGGTTTTTCACCAAGTTCCTTTATGCCCTATCGCCGGCTACTAAATTAGCTCGGTGCCAACTTTTTTCCCTTTAAAGGCAAAACCAGCCCATACGTGTTAATTACCCTGTGGTTAGGTCAGGCCAAGTCCAAGTTGGGGTCAAATGAAGGAGGAGGAGGAGGAGGCGGGGGGGGGGCTATGAATAAAGCGATCTAGACTACCAGACAAAATTTTCGAAATTAGACGCACTCATTTTCATTTGGTGCCTCGTTTTATACTCCTCGCAACGACCTGTTTTAGGGGAGAAGTGTGTGTATGACTCACTTTTGTGGCAGCGGTACATACATATGTGTGTGTGTGTGTGAGATAAATCTTTCTGCACTTCTTTATCGGGGGGGAGAGAGTGAGAGTGAGAGAGAAATTCCCCTCCTGTCTCCTATCATAAACCCTCTCGCTTCTACCTGCCTACTTAACTACTTTATGTTCGATATGCCTTCTCTCTCCTCGCTTTATCGGCATGCGATTCGCGCTTATTGCCCATTTTTCGCACCTGGCTCTTTGGTGTCTATTAATTCTCCAATGAAAGTGCATTTCAAGATCTGCTGTTGTTGCTACTATAAGTTTGGCTAAAGTTCGGAGGTTTTGGATTTTTTACCCAATATGAGCAGAATGACAGTTAACACTGACTAAATTCGACTAATGACGGTATTCGAAAATTATGTTTCTCACCTGGGGCTCTCCACGATTCGGTCCCTCTATCCGAGATAAGTATTGAAAAAAAAACGCTTTCCCCCCAAATTAGGTTGAGATTTAATTGGAGTTTGCACCAAAAAATGGGAGATTGACTGAGAGGATGGATGGCGCAATTTAAGGAATTCTATCCTGAACGAGGTAGATTCAATGCCCTTCTTGTCCTTATCGAAGATGAATATATCAAAATCAATTACAATTCTCTTAATAATCCAAAGAAGGCTGAAATCTTAATTTAGCAATTCCCATATATAGACACCTTTCTTAGATTTCTTGGAGCGATGAGTTCTGTCGGCTGTCTAATTTGTCATCAGAAATTCATTTCAGTTTCCTTGGTCCAATTAGCTGTCAGTCACCCAAAGAAGACCCACGTAAGTCAACTTTGCGAAGTCGTCATAATAACAAACAATTTGATTTTGGCTCGGTGCGAAATTTCAGACCCTCCATTTTATGAGCACTTCTCCCTCTACCACCCCCCACCCCCCGCCTTATTGACCAAAATCGACCAACACAGTTGGCTAACCATATCACTGGATGCATATCGATGAGAGGATTGATCTCATGTCCTCTAACTTGTTAGACGTGAACGTTAATTATTTCCCCAATGGTTTTTATACATCGTACCCACCCCCCTCCCCCCCCCTCCGTCCCTCCTTCTCTTAAAATCAAAGCGTGAATAACTCATAAATCCCCCCCCCTAAAATTAGAGGATGTGAGAGAAATAATCTCATTTCACACTCTCTTGTCTCCCTATGCTCTATACTAGTAGGGCCCATTTAAACCGTGTATCACCACCACCGACACCCTTAAGATGGCCTATATATGTATCTTGCATCTCTTACACTACCACGTTTTCGGTATATTTTTTTTTATTTACACATTAAAAGATGATTTATTATCGTGCGTGTACGCAAGATAAATTGTAAATTATACCATTTGAGGGCTGTGCTTAAACGTCACTCTTGCATCTGTTGCCATGACTTCAAATTGTATGTTAGTCTCATTGGCGAGGTTCCAAGAACGTTCATTTCAAGTCCTCGTGTTGGCCTACCATATTGCCACTTATATCAGCTATCAATTCGAGGCTGGTAATGCTTTGAACAGCGATACGCATGGTCTGTAGGACTTAATAGAGACTTTAATACTGTTCCTTCTCTCCACTTTACGTTTCTTCTACGGATAGAAGTCTAACAGGGTTCCCCTTTGTGTACCGATGGCGCAGTGGTTTATGTGCTCGTCTGCGAAGTCAGAGGTGTAGCTGGTTTAATGCCCATCGGCACACATACACCAAGTGAGTTAATAGCCTACTACGCTGGTTCAGTCTGATTAATGTGGTGGTGGTGGTGCTGGTGGTGTTGGTTAGAGGCTCTATCACTCACACCATTATGAGTGAAGGAGAAGTTATGTCGAATTTGGCTTGGGAATTAGCTATGTTCCTCCTTAACCTTGGTGAAGTGGATATGTTTAAAATACCACCAAACCAATGGGATCGCTGTGTGTGTGTTGACAAGCTAGTTGAAAATAATTAAACAACGCTAATTGTGTTCAGGATTCCACCTATCCATTTAACCCATGCATAATCTAGAATCACTTTGATCGAATTTCAGTGTACACGCACCCCATGAATTGTTTACTTATCTCAATGTGAAATTGAAGAAAGCGACACAGTGAATCGGACCATGCAGTTATCGTGTAAACTGCTGACTGCACTCTCAAATTGCATATAATTGCCCCCCCCCCCCCCCCTAGGATTAAAGGAATGGGCCCTATCTAGACATGCTTAATTTTAGGTTCAACCGCTGAAGGAAAATGGAAACACCTCTGATAACACTACTTTTTTTCTTTGCAATCCTTCAGGCCCACAAACGATGTTCCATTAGCGTGCCCAACGATTGTCTTCCAGATATGAAGCGTCTCAAGAGGGTCTTCGGTGTAGATCTCACCAGTTTGGTCCGTGCAGAAAACCGGTTAGTTCTCTAATGTGTAAAACCTCTTCTTCAAGTCTTAATATTCATTTTTTTACCCCTCAAGTTCTGGTTCCTTGCAGTCCTTTAACTAAAGATTTCATTGTTTTTGCCATCATTTTATCTCACGTGTTTCTTATTTTTGTTTTGGTGTTTTTTTTAATTCTCTGATTTCTCGCTTAAATTCACAATTTCTGAGCTAGAGTTATCTCACGCTATCGGCCTTTTTTCTCATGTTCTCGTGGAGCATTCTAATCTCAAAATCACAATTTCCTTCACAAGTGGAAGTTGATGTTACTGTGTCTCGGAAATTTCAAGTTTCTCTATTTGCCATTTACTTAATTAATTAATTAATTAAATTCATCTCGTTTTGCCTAATTAGAGACAGGTGAATCATTCTTTCATTCATTAATTTGGATCATGAAGTCGCAAAATCGGTAATGGATAGTTTTCGGGTTAGATCAACATTCGCATACATATTGGAGGCTGTTTTGAATTTAACAAGTAGATGATATTTGACGCTTGAGTTGCTATAGCGACATGTCTTGAAAACGGGGTCTCAGAAGGTACCAAAAGCAGACCACCAAGGAAGTCGAACTTCGTTTATCTTGTGCTTATGTGTCGCGTGTACATGAGTCGGGAACATGGTCTCATGAATTATCGCATACAAAAAAGCCAATTTATTGGGATCGTTTTGGTCGTCTAAATGATGTTCAGTTCGTAAGTTTATATGCATGGCACAAATTAGAGTTGGGTAGAAGACGTCAATTATGCGATATTTTGTCATGTCGCTCGCCAATTATTTCCTAATGACTAAAATTGAATTTGTGCGAACACATCTAGAGATTGGTAAATTAATTTTTGAATTTCCATTTTGATCGAGAAGGAATATGGGTGTTACTAAATGACTAAAAGCCATCTTTTATATCCTTTGTTTGTGTTTCTTCAATCTAGCGCAGTCGCCCCCTTCATTTCGTGCGTTACTTTGTGGTTATTTATAGCTAGTTCAACCCCCCCCCCTCTACACATACGGCCGCACATCTAACTCCTTCTTTTCTTTCTGAACATGTCTTTGTGCGATGATTATTCTTCTATACAAGTTTATTAAGGTAGTTAATTAACTGGACACTTCTAGACATTGCCAACAAAACAAAAAGGAAACAAGAAAAATGACGTGCTTATTGAACGGCAGTGTTATTTGTCCCAGTAGGAGGAGGAGGAGGAGGAGGAGGCTGACTAGTGAAACGGCTAGCCGGCTTGTTTGGCTAATAAGTTAGCAATGCCTATGCTTCCTCCTTATTTCGTGTGCGTGATTTCATTGGTTGATTGCTGCTCTTGTATAATCGGATTGCCGGCGTATCATCACCCAACGCTCATTGGTTGCCTACTGAATGGCGGGTTAAATTTGTAGTACATTCTTCGTCGTCTTCTTCTTCTTCTTTAAGTTAGCTGTCCCCGCCCCCTCCCCCCCCCGGACGTTAGTGATCAAAAGGAGAGAGAGAGAGAGAGGTTTACTTACTTTGATTACTTTGCACAGTTCATGATATTATTAGGAGATTTTAGCAAAGTTAAATGCACCTTTTGATGAATGTGGAGGGAGAGTGGGGGGGGGGAGGGGTTTGCTCACATGTTTGGAAATGGGGTCAAGTATCGGCAGCACTCTTAACAAATTTAAGCTCTAGAGGGTGGTTTGTTTATTTTTGTTTCCTCAGTATACTTTGCAAAACTTGTAGTCAGCTAATTTTGTGAACTTTCCATAAAGGAAGTGAACTGAAAGCTCAATTAAGTATAAAAGACTGGAATAGATAAGATGTTGAGAATAGTTGTAACTACGGGATAAAAAGGTGTCATTAGGTTTTAACTTCCGGTTATAGAATATTCACTTACTGATATGTTCATTGTCTCCCGTTCTAAAACTCCAATTTCATGATGTTCCCAGAATTTGAACCATTCCTTGTCGCAACGCGTTGTCCAGTGCTTATTTACAGGTTTTTCCAATCCTGATGGTCGGTTCTTCCACTTCTAGTCACATGGTCTTATACATCTTAGACTGTATCAACATAGGAAAACTCACCTTAAGCTAACCGATACTGGACTATTATTGAATTCGGCGTTCAGCCCCATGTTCAGCATTGAACTCTAATGGAAGTGGATGCTTTTAGTTTAAAAAAGAAATTTTTGGCGTTTCAATGTTATCCATATTAGGGTCTTGTACATATTCATTTGGCTGATAATGATCTAGAAATCAAGTTAATGAAGCCAATTTAACGGTACCCTCGCCAGAAGCATGGCAGTATTTTAATTACCTGTTTTCCTACTCTTCAATTTCTTTAAATAATCTTCTCCCTAATTCTTTAATTTACTTTATCGTTTCTGTTTCGTGATTAGGAGGATGCTTCAATGAAAATACTTTTTTTTAACTAGTCTTTTAATTAAAATTACCTTAGAATACTTTTAATGATACAAAACCGTTTTCTCAACCACGCATTGGGGGGGGGGTTAATTTTTCCCACAAATTATACCACCCCAGTTCTTATGGCCTCATAAAAGATAGTCACAGCTCATTTTTGAGGGGAAAAAATAAATACAAGGTCATGGCTTTGCTCTTTTGGGTCATCTGAAATCTCCAAAAATAAATTTTCTTTGTAGCTCTCAAACATTTTTATTTATTTATTTCAAATGGCAGGCGTTTTGATAGTTATCATTAGCCATTTAGTTGACTTCGGGCTTCACAGAGAGAAGGAGGAGGAACATCAAAGTGACAAAAAGTCGAGAGTTGGGAGACAATAATGATTCACAGATGTAACAGAGACAGACAGACAGACAAAAAGGCAGAGAAAAGGTAAGGTGAGTACTGTGAAAGGGGTCGAATATGGCATACAGTGGGGTGATGGTAGTTTGATGTCAGAAGTCAACTGCCGGTTAATGGACTTTTTTGCCATATGAGTATACGTTGCCCAGGGTGCACCACGTGGAGGTAAGTCTATCGCACACCCCAAGCTCTATATATATAGAATGACGACTGCTTCCAGTATTGTACCTTAGTTACTTTCACCATGGCATACTTTGTCACAGTGATTTCTTTATGTCCCTATGACTCAAACCCCCACCTTTCATGTCTAGACAAGTTTACCATTTCTCATTTTCTTTCATATTTTGCCTCAATGATCCTTTCAAGGATGCTTAAACACGCGATCTGATTGATTGCCGATGGGTAAATATTGATTACTGCTTAAATAGAAGGTCAAAGGTTTATGTTGTATCTTATTATCTAGTCCACCTTGCTTCCATCCCCGC